CTCGGACGCGCATTTACGTTAAGTCAAAACTCCAGAGGGGACGAATCTAAGCCTTTTTGCCAAAACATGATCCATATAATTATGTTATTGTTTTAATTTCTAGTGGGAGAGGATTCCATGCCATTTGATGACGTGATTAATTAGTTAGTCCAAATCCCAAAGCTTTTCATCATACAGTCATCATCATTCTTACTACGGAATAATAAAGAACCTCACAATAGTTAGGTACGGTGGTTATATCTTTGACCTCACACGCTTAAAAAAATAAATAAATAAAGTACTACCAAGCTAATCATATCCATTTATATATGCATATATACAGATAATTAATTACTTCCTCCGTTTTTAATTACACTACATAATAATTGAAATTAATCAACACGTTGACCCTTTCTGGATAGTTCTAGTATATATACCATCCATACATCAGATTATTTTTTAAAAGGATTAAAATAAATTAAACCTTAAATTATAGATTTAGAGAAATTTAAATTTTAAACTTTTAAAATGTATATTCTAAACTTCAAACAATTATTGATAAAAAAATCTTAAATTTAAAGTTAGGGTAATTTTACCTCACCATTAAATTAGACAATGCCCTTTAATTTTTTTTAAAAATTAAGACCTAATGTATAATTTTATTAAATTTGACTCTCCGTTGCTTCATACTCATTCGGTAAAAATCAAACAATAAGCTCTATTTAACAAACATTTGTTTGAATTTAACAATAAAGGTCAAATTGCTGCTCAATTTTAATTGTTTTAAAATTTAAAATATATTTTTTTAAATATTTAGGATTTAAATCACCTCTAGATTTATAGTTTAGAATTTAAATTATATATTAACCCTTTATTTATATAAAAATGTAAAAAAAAAACAACATAATTAACCTGTAATGTATGTCACTGATAAATTAGAGTTAAATGAGGGAACGAGATTAATAATTATGAAGTAGGATACGAAGGAGAAGTTGATAAGTGGACTGTGCTTAATACATAAATGGAAACATTACTGCCATTCTTTAATGAGTTCCTTTTATGGGGGCTGGGGGGGGGGGGACCGCCGACCCTTTCACAAAGCACTTTAGTCTTATTCTTGCTTTCTAAGTTTGACTTCCCAACCTAAAACTCAAGACCCCTTTATTAACTCATGTATCTATACACTGAAACCAGATTTTCTTTTAGCATTAACCAATGTTGAATCTTTGCTCACATTAATTAATGGATGAATCCATGCAAGATCACATTTGATCGACTCTTTAGGATTATTCCTCTTGCCTTATTATAAAATGAAGTGAAAGTTTTTTATATTTTAAATATGAGATAAAGTTAGAATATTAATGTTTTTTTTTATTTTACTCCTTATTTATTTATTGTCATTTGAATTTTTGAACAAAAATTTATTATGATCATTAATTAAAAAATGATAAATTGGAAGGTTATAAATAAATTCTTTTACATTTTTAAGATCATACTAACATTTCTTAATAATAGCTAGGGAATTTGTTAACTTCCATTTTATATTAAAGGATTGGGGTAGTATAATCTTTATCCTCAACTCAAAAGGCAAAATGAAGAGGTAAGGTGTCTGTGAAGCTAGCACTCTCTCCATTTTGTTGAAGAAACTGTCTTTTTTTTTTTTTTATAAACAAATCATATATTTTAATAAGTATTTATTATAAATTTTTAGGAAGAATTGCATTTAGGGCCCCTGGGAGCAAGAAATTTACAGATAACGCTCAATGGAATGTAAAATTATTTTAAGGGCCCAAAGCTTCATTTACAATATTTTTTCAGCTACTAGACAATGATTTTTTTCTTCTTCCTCCCTCTTTCCTTTTCTCTCTTCCTCTTCTGACACCGATGCACTAACCAAATTATTGTTCCTCCCCATCATACTTCTCAATTCCCTCTATTCTTCTTCCCTCCCCTATTCCTTCTTTCTCTTCCTCCTCAAACTCACATTTGAAGTGTTTTCAGTCGACAGGTATGAGTGGTTGATCTGCATTTATCTAACTAGCTGTGGAGGGGATGATCAAGTATTCGAACAACTGCATTCATCTCATGCCAACTAGCTTCTTGGAACAATCCACCATGATGTGGAAAGAACGGATCAAGTGGTGTATTGATTTGGCATAGAAACTAATGCAATTATTGCATATTACGAACCTAACCTATTATTGCTTCCAAGTAGTTTTTTTTTTGTTGTCAAAAGAGGACAGAGAGAAAGAGAGCTCAAGTCATATCAGTTTTATTCTAGCTACAAGCAAATTTCACTATTGGGAATTGACATGTGAATATCCAAACATCTACTTAATAAATACATGTGCTTTGACTTAATATTGTTTGGGAAGCTTGGTTGAAGTGTATCGATACATGAAATTTGTTGGGGATGGTAGTTGTTTTGTGCATGTATATACACAAGCAAGCCTTGGATATTTTGGTTGCAGTTGTTGTATCTTTGAATATATTAAACATGATATTTGATGCAAGATTTATGTTGATACTTGTTTTAGTAAGAGGGCCAGTACTAGCATGAAATCATCTAGTCTTAATGTACATATTCATGTTCATTTAATGAAAACAAGTTGTTATTTGTGAACTTTTTATTGTTTTTAATATAGATTTTCTGCAATAAATATACATGTTCTGATTTAGATGTTATTTATGAACTTTATATTGTTATTTACAGAGTTTATGTTGTGAAATTTTACAATTAACTTGTGTAGATGTTCATGTATATCATATAAACAGACTTTATGTTAATATATTGACATTTTTATGTTATTTATGGATGCTCCGTTGTGAATAGTTAATTACAACTTTTAATAATTAGATTATAAAGAGAATAGCTTTGACATCTCACTATGTAGTAGCATTTGCTAGAACTTTAGCTTTTGATTTTTTGATAGTCAAAGATTGGATTATGTGTAATAAAAACATGAACATTATCTTGTTAATATTGAATATTCAATTGTGAATTTAGTTGTAAATTATTCAAATATGATATTTATTATATTCTTGAAAATCAATGAAAGCATATTGTTAATATATAAGGCCCTTGTGCAAATTTTTAAGTGTGCCATATAGAAGGACCTTGTATTATTAATATATAAACTTGTCATGTTATTTAAAATGTTCAACTTAATCAGATAGAGCATGCGCATATATGGACATTATATTATTAATAAATGGACCTTATCATATTATATATGAAATTTATTTATTGTTTTGGTACGATGTTATATATAGAATTAGCCCTTATAATTTATATTAACGAAAAACAATCAATGCATGCTTATATTAATTAACACAGGGTATTTTAATCTAATTTTTTATTTTTAGACATAATTATCATAGTTAATTGATTTTTTTAAACTATGTATTAATGAGAAACAATTAATATATGTTAATATTGATTAATACATGATATTTTAATCTAATTTTTTATTTTTAAACATAATCAATTTTCTTATATGTAGAAATGGAAAGAGTATATCAAATAACATTGTAAGAATAGAATAAATGGATGGAATATGAATGATTATTGTCCTTTCATTTGTTGGCTTCCTTTTCCATGCTTAATTACATCTGAACCAAACAAAAATCATGCCAAGATTCCGTCCATGTTATTTGTCATAGCAAATATGCTTTTAAAATCTCTTTTTTTCCCCTCTTTCCTTGCTACTTTCAATTTTTTTTTTAATTTTATTTTCATCAAAATCGTTCGATCAAACTAAATGGGGCCTAATTTTAATTTTTTTTAAAATGGCTATGTTAAATGTTTGACATCATATTGATTCTTAACCACACTAATTTAATTATTTCATATAATCAACAAAGGCATACTCCTTCCGAACTATAATATGAGACATCTCTTAAAAATTTTACCTGATCTAAAATATAAAGTATTAGATAATTTTTATATTTATTTTTTAACTATACCCTTACTTTCATTTATTATTCTCTTTAAAAAAATTATGTATTAAATTTTAATTACCATTATCAATATTCTTATATAATATCTCATGAGGGTATAAATGGAAGGATAAAAATATTTTTTAAAATTTAAAGTTTCAATTAACATTATTCATAAACCATGAATTAGTTAGTTATAATTTATATTGGGAGTCAGACAGATTAAACAATAGCAAATTTATATATTTAGAAGGAAAAAAATAAAAAAAATTTTATTCAGGTCTCATAGAAGAAAATTTATGACTAAGAGATCTCATGAATTTTATAAAATATTCACAAATCTCAAATTTTTCACATTGATAACTTGATTAAAAGATATCCTTACACAAAATTTAAGATTTATGAGTATTTTATGAAGTTCGAGGGACATCTCAATAATAATTTTCTTTTGTGAAATCTGAATGTATTTTTTTTCAAAAAAAAAAAAAAAAAACTCCCGTTTGTCTCTTATACAAGAAGGGAGGGAGGGAGTAATACCTATAACGTGGATCCAAAACGCATCATGTGAGATGGGATGTTTCATTGCAATCGTCACAAATTATAATAAATAATCGAGAAAGAATAAGAATGAAGATGAAAAGAAACGGATGTAGTTGTTATTAGTAAATACCCAAAAAAAAAAAATATTTTTTAATATAAATTAATATTTTGAATTGAATTAATAATTATATCAGAAAAGGGGATTGGGGAAGTAAATAATAAAGTGCGAATTTGGGACGGAGAGACACGTGGAGGCGGTGGAACGGAAAATAAGGAAAAAGACGCCAAAATGACCGAAGTGAATGACCGCCGACGCCGAAGCTGAGGGACCTCAAACAAACACTATCCTGCACCTAACTTAATCCCCACGCGCCAATCCTTCCATCTCTCTTTCATTCATAGTCAAACTTTCTTCTCTCTCCATTCCCTTGTTCTCATTCTTCTCCCTCACCCAATCAAACTCAATTCAAACTTGAATCCATTATCCCATTTCCACATTAATTCACAAAACACTCATCCCACGACTCTTCCCTCACTCCCCAACCCTGTTTCTTAATCCCCACAATCTTCCTTTCACTGCCCCCCATGCCTTCATCTATATATATACATAGCCCTTCTTTCCCTCCTTACCTTCTGCTTCATCTTTCAAACCTCTCTTCCATCAATGGCTCGCTTCCTCACCTTCCTCTCATGTTCTTTCTCATCTCTGCTTCACTCTGTTCCTTTTCAGAAGCCAGAAAGCTCCAAGTGGGTGCACAGAGGAGCTTCCGGAATGACGTCCCGTCGACGTCAAGGGACAGTCTGTTCCTGAGTTCCCTTCCCAAGGGCACTGTGCCTTCTTCTACGCCCAGCAAGAAAGGCCACGCCATGGTGGTTGACGAGAAGCTCATTGCTCGTCACCTTATCGCCATTGATCGACTTCTGAGCTCTGTTCCTAGCCCCGGTGCTGGTCACTAGCTTCTTCTTAGCCCCTCACATTTTTTTATTATTTTTTTTTCAATTTTGTTACCTATTTAAATTCCTAGTATTGTTGTTGCAGAGAATCAGATTAGCTAGGTGTATTCGACCATGTAAAAGCTAGTATATATATGTGTCTCTGTTTTGGGACTATCCGCATGTGATCGGTCCCTTTTTGATTGTTATCATTAGTGGAGAAGAAAATTAGCACAGGTTTTGAATCCCACTTCTTCGGCTTCAACAAAATACAGAGGAATTTTAAAAAATCCGATCAACTGTGGTGTTTCAAAAGGTGATTATGTCTGTCTAATTTTCTGCAAGTAATCATCATTTTAATAAGGAGGAAAGCCCGGCCCTTTGAAATCAACTCGTACGTTTACGAATCTGAGTAAAGTAGCCTTCGGATTTGTCGGCTGATATATCGCCCTTTTCGGAAAGTGTTTTTCAATTTTCAATGTTATAACAGAGCAATAAAGAACGACGCCGCTGGATGAAATTAAAAAGATTACAAAGCACGCACGCACATACACATTTTGATTTAGCGTGAGCAAGACGAAATGCGCCTAAGATCTCCCCAATCTGGGTTTGTTTGTTGAAGGGATCACCGTCAAGTGTATATTATGTTATTCCTTCCATATTTACGGTGGAATTATTGTACTTATTTCATATTTTGTTTATTATAACATATTTTTAATCAAAATTTTTATTTTATAATTAATTAGTTAATTGTTTATAAAATTATATACTCTTTTTATGCGTTTGTTTTTATTTAATAGGACATGTTAATTAAAAAAAATATAATTAATTTTACCTTTCATATTTATTTTTTAAAAAAATTCATTAATTATATTTTAAAAGATTGAAAATTTTTTATATTTTTAAATTTTTTATATAAAAAATGTGTTGTATTTTCAAAGGAAAGATGATTAAAATTAAGACTTAAAAAAAAAAAAAACGGAGTGGGAAGCATTGGTAAACGTGGGAGCTGGTACTTGTTGACTTGCGTGTCATCTACTTGGACTCGAAGTAACATGGCTCCTGTTGTCCCCATCCCACCAAAATTCTTTTTTTCAACTTAAACGTGTTTGTCCCACATTTAATAAAATAATAATGATCATAATAGTTTGCATATGTTAACCAAAATATTGTCCTTTTTTATCCCGGATTTTAAGGGTGCCACTATTGTTAATTAAAACTCATGGAGTATAGATATGCAAATGCAATATGTAAATAAAAGCATAACATCCCACTTCTATTCCCGATTAATTAATTTTTGCTTTTGCGCCAAATTTTGGATCTATATACTACATTATTCATGACCCACTATAACATTTTTATCTTATAACAACAATTGAAAACTATTACTAAAAGAATGAAAACTGTTGTCAAAAACTAAAGATAACATTTTTAAACTTGTTAAGTAATAGTTTTATTACTATATAGCCGCACATTTAAAAAATTATTGTCTATATTTTAGGAATAAACAACAATTCTCATGTTAATCTATTGCAACAGACAAAATAACGCAAGTAGTTTAAGGTGAAGGACATAGATTATGAATGAAATTAAAATTCGGTCAATCTAAAGATGAATTCGTCAACTCGATCAGTTACGTATTTGCATGGCATTCCAATTTTCTATTCCCGCAAGATAGAAATTTGACTGATCGAGTGCGTAGACTTTGAACTCCTTCGCCTGTCACACCCAAATGACACAATTAATCAAAGCCATCTAAATCAAAACGCATAAAGCACAAGCAGTCCAAAGGAAAAAAAGAAATAGATATGTGTATGCGTGTATATAAAAATATATATATATATATATATATATTTATACACACACGCGCACACATCAATTAAAGTGATGGTAAAATAAAGTACATATAGAAGGAAAAGTGAGGAGAGTAACGTAAGGAAAAAGATCCAGAACGTTGGAAAAATGCGGGCTTTAAATCCAGGCCGAGGGCTCCGCAAAACCGCCCTTAATTCCCTCAAATTGTTCACCACACAATCAAAAGGTCAAGCCCTGTTTGTGATATATATATATATATATATATATTATATAATCATGAAACTATCACCTTTTTTACTTGATTTAAAAAAAAATACTGTTTGGTGTTGCTAGAGTTGTTAGGAGGGGATTATGATCACAAAATACACTTGCGAGCTTACAGGAGATAACTACGTACTACATCGCACAATCTCGGCAATCAAAATCCTTAATTAAAAGTCTTGATCGTTGACTACTTTGAGGTTAAAATATCATGCAACTTTGTGGCTTTAAAAGTGGTGATGACGATACAAGTGCTCATCAAAGTAAAAGGAAAAGAATTTACTGTATAATAACACACTGGTACAGTAGTAGATTTAGTTCTCTCGTTACAACTAAGTATATATTTGGTTTTTATTTTACATTTAGCAAAAGTTCATTGTAAGGATGCAACTATTTATTAAATTTGACCAAAACACATCTTCAATATAGTTTAAATGTACTATTAAGGATTAGGTAAACACATCCTAAGCTTGTGAATTAACAATACATTTACTAAGAACAAATAGAACACAGAGAAGAAGTAAAAATTCCTTGTCTATATAGGTTTTGGCCATATAGCTTGTATATGTCCCAAATTTTAATTTGCAATTAAATTTGCATGTGGTTTTGGATATGAGAGAGAGTCAGTGAATAGATCTTATTTAATTTAATCTAAGAATTAAAATTATTTTTAAGAAAATATTAAAAATATGAAGGAAAAAGATTTCACCCGCGGCTTCATGCACGTCAGAAGTGATATATCTGTTCTGCTATTGTGTGGTTGCTTTCAGAATTTTCCAAACTCATGATATCGATATTTCCCTAATTTCTTTCGATCATAATCACGTCTCCACTATTATGTGCGTTCAAGTCAAATATGACATTTTTGCAAGAGTCAAATATGGCATTAATTTCCACGATCCTTCCTCCAACTTTCTCCTTTTTTTATATATTTTATTGCCCCCAACCTCTTTTCTTCAATTCTTTAATTTGTTCTACACTTCTCCATATCATTCTGTGTGTGTGTGTGTGTGTGAATTCATTATAATTTTAATTCTTCCACTATATTTATTGTTATTGTAGCTGATCCTGGGTCTTTCCTTGATTTTGTCTTCTTCTTGGGGCATTTGAGCTGAAGCGCACTAGTCTTTGTAGTGTACTCCTTCCATTTTCAAATATAGAAAATTTCAATCATCTCATGCAGTTAAAAAAAAAGTTAATCATAATAATTATATTTGAAATTAAAATGTTTAGATTAAAATGTCTTTGTAATCAATGTTTACTTTTTTTCTACAATTAAATGATATTATCCATTTACAACAGACAATTTGGGAAAAAATGTAATTAATACTTTTTGAAATTAGTATTTTTACTTATAATAAAAAACAAAAAAATGTAAAGTAATTTCTCTTATATTTAAAAATGGAGTATTATAAACTATAAAACCCTAAATTAAACTTGACCAATAACGCCACACCTCGTGATCAAGATCAACCACCACATTAATATTACGGCGGTTAACTTTAAACTATATTTTCCATCGCTTCATTTTTTGTTAATATAATATCATTTTAATTTTTGATGTTAATAAGTATTATAGACCTTGAACTATTTTGTAAATAGTATTTTAAATTTTAAACTCTTAAAATATGCAAAAAAAATTTTAACTTTTAAATTTTGAGTGCTTAAAACTCCACCATTAAGTTGTAGAAAATGATCATTTTTTAAGGATTAAAATGATTTCAATATTATCAAGCGATTGGGCTCTATAACTACAAAAGTAACAGCTAGTTTTCTAACTTAGTGACAAGATTTTATGCGCTCAGAATTTAAAAGTTGAAATAAGTTTTTACACATTTTAGACATTCAAAGTTCAGGATGCTATTCTTACAGTCAGTATAGGATATAAGATACTTATTAGCCTTAATTTTTTTACATGTTTATTCTGTTATGCACATCTTGACATACATAGTTAACTAATTATGCTGATAATTTCGATGAATAAATTAAAAGGCAAATATATTGATGTACATTATTGTACAATAAAATATGTACAATATATTGATAAACAAATTAAAAAGCGCAACATATGGTAAGCCAAATTGGAAGTAAGCCAGTATTATGAAAGGAAGTACTTCCTTGAATCACAAGAAACTACAGCTTCTTCAACTCGTCCTCTACTAGTACACGCACACTTGTCCTTTACTTGACAAATAGGCAAAAGAAAAGAACCGATCTAGCCGGTGGGAGTGGGAGTCTTTTTTCCACACATGTGTCTTGAATCACAAAAAATTAAAGCTTCTTCAACTTGTGTCCTTTTCACATGAACATTATTATTTCTGCTTCTCCTTCCATTTTATGGAGTTGCAAAAGTAATTCTCAAATCTCAATGCTGATGTATCTCCAAGTACAAACTCACTCAGATCACAAGTGTTGTGTTTATATATACCGTCATGGTTCTTGTGACCAAAAATACTTACAGTAAAAACAAAGCCAAAAACGATATATGGCTACCTGCAGTACCAGAGGTGCCATGGCGAAACCTTTGTTTCTCTGTTATCTCCTACTCATGATACTGGTGTTAATGTCAGCAAGAGTTTCTGCAACTCGATACCACGAAGGTGAAGGCAGTCTTCATGTTCTCGCAAAGGGTCGTGTCCCGCCTTCAGGTCAAAGCCATAGAGGCCATCGACAACCTCATTTTCCACTTCACTACAACAAAAGGCGCCACTGAATTGAATTATATATTAACACGCTAGCTCACACACATACAAAGCAGTACTTAGCCCTGGCTGGTTTCCTCTGGTTTATGCATGCAAAACCAGAAAGAGGTTTATAATTTTGCTTTATATATATATATATATATGTATGAACGTATGTGTGTTTCTGTGAGCTTGTGTGAGTCTATAATCTTTTAAAGAATAAGAGGTCACATTTGGAATAGCTAGCTGGAAGCAGAATACATCTTGTCTAGTGTTTCTTTTCTTTGCTTGTATATTCTGGATGCAGGTGGTGGAATTAGGTGACTTGTTGTTCTAAGAAAAAAAAATTGCAGTCAATCTATAGGATAACAAGAAAAGGAAGAGAAATGTGTTTGTTTTTAAAACCAGCTCAAGGGCCTCCCCAATACCGCCCTTCCTTCAAAAGTATATTCGCTACATGCTCAATGGTCAA